GGCAATTAGCACATTCTTTGTATGTTATATGCATTATATACTGTATTTTTACAATAAAGAAGGCTAGAGAAGGAAATATTAAGAAAACCATAAGAAAAATACATTAGTATTTATTTAAAAATCTACATATAAGTGGACCCACACAGTTGAAAATATGTTGTTTATGGGTCAGCTGTACACACTGAATAACTCCTGGTAAAATTCCTAACAATTCATGAGAGAAATGCTGTTCAACAGGTTTTAAGCAAGAGGCTCTCGGGCTGATGCTAAGCAGAGTAGGCAAAGTATGACCATTTACAGATATCAGTTTAAAAACAGAAAAATGTTGACACTAAAAAACTAGTGATAATCTAAGTTTAGGAAGGCATTCATCGCAGAAAATTTGAGCTCCAAAGACAAAGAGGGACTCACAACTTGCATCTTACCAGAGGTTATGTTAATATTTCCTGCTTCAATTCCTGCTTTAAGTCCTTCTTTCCCCAAAATCCCAGATTCTCCTTTGGCCAGACGCTCCCTCTCCTTCTCTTCCAAACTTCCGTAGTAGATGTGTGGTTTCTTCACAACCGGCGCGACTAAGTCATCAGGTGCCTTGGTTTTGGTTGCCTGCTAAATCAAAGATCTGGGTTAATTTACGGCTTAATCTCAGCCATTTGTTAGGCTTCCCTATAGAACAAAGCTCATCTTGAGCTTCAGCTGCATTCCCCCACTAAAGGAAAGAACACGGAGGGCACTTCCGTAGACGTTCGCCTGCCAAAGGGTCTGGGGTTCGATCCCCGGTCCAGGGCCGTCCCTGGGTTGCAGGTTAGATTCTGGCCCTAGTCAGGCGCGTGAGGGAGGCAACCAGTAGATGTGTCTCTCTCACATCGATGTTTCTCTCTCTCTCTCTCTCCCCCTCCCTCCCTCCCGTACACTTTCTAAAAATGAATAGGAAAAAATGGCCCTGGATGAGTTAAAAAAAAAAAAAAAGGTGTCTTCACTGATGGGGCCGGGAGGAGGGGCTGTTCAGTATCTCAGGCAGGAAGAGGCTGATAAAACGACTAATTTCTCTTGGCGCTTTTCCTATCAAAGGTTTGCTTTGGAGCATATTTAATTCATCTGGCTGGAGTGCAATCCCTTCTCGGGTTTTATGGAGCTTCCAGGGTTCTTGCTCATCAGAGGGGAAGTAGAAGGGGTGACTGAAATAACCACCCCGATGCGAAGGGGGAATGATCCTATGACGTTAGGAGGCCTCATTACAATGAACAAGTCTGACAATGACGTAAGCCGTGGCCAGGGCGCTGCTCCCCTCAGAGCTCCGTTTCTGGACCCGTCGGAAGACGCACTGACCGTTCGCGGCTGCACAAGGGGTGCACATGGGCTCCAGCACATGAAAGCTCTTACGCGTCAGGAAAACGGAGCCTGCTGAGCCCAGACCCAGTCTCGCAGTCTTCCTCCCCGGCCCTCCACGGACTGAGCCCGACCCCTCGAGGCCCCGTCCCGCAGGGACCCCCAAACCCGCGGTGCCCCCTGCCAGGGTGAGCGGAGATCTGTACCGTGGAGGAAGCTCGTGTGGAAGCCATGCCGGGCTCAGGAGCCGCGATACCCCAGCCACAGCCGGGCTCTGCTTCCCAGACAATCCACCGCGCGCCCAGCCGAGCGGAACTGCGTCACCGACCGGAAGTGGCTCAAGAGCGACGCAGCGTCCGAGCCGGCGTGGAGCACGCTGGGAATCGTAGTGGGAAGGAAGGAAGGCTTGTGGGCGCGTCGCGAGGGGTGACCCGTGGAGCCTCCGAGAAACGTGCGCGGAGGCCGAGGTTCTGCGAGGAGAGGCTCTGGCTTAGGGCGGGCTGGGGCGTGGAGCTGAGCGGAAGCCTTGGTGGGCGCCGAGGCTCCGGGAGGGGGCAGAGCAGGCTCGAGAGGAGGTAGGGGCGTCGAGGCGCACGGCTTCGGGCTGGACTCCGGAGCGGATCGAGGGCTTCCGGGGGCCGTTCCTCTCGGCTCTGCCAGCGGCTTTCCGTTGTCCTGGATCCGGGGACCCGGTTGCCATGGAAATCCTTACCCCGGACCGGTGAGTGTGGCCCTGGACCTGCCGCCGGCGAGCCTTTCTTGGTGTCTGGAAGTTCTCTCCCGGGGGCGCCCTTTGAGCTGGTGAATTCGGGCAGCGGCGAGAGATTAAGCTCCGGAGCCCTCTAGCGCCAAAGTAACATACAAACCCGGCGGAGGAGCCGCGGCCTGCTTTCGTTGTCTTCAGCCCGGTCTTTGTCCTCAGGCTCAGGGTGAGATGATGGATGGGAGGCGTCAGGTACATGCAAACCACTCCGCATGGCCCTGTGTCCCGGCTGGGTGCAGGGGCATCAGAGTTGAAAAAGTCAAGCCTCTTGTCGAGGGTGCAGATGCTCAAAATGTTAGGTGTTTCCCGCCCCTCTCCACAAGGACTGTAATAATGGCTGTAAACTGTAAAACACTCGTTTTAAAAAAATATATTTGTATTAATTGCAGAGAGGAAGGGAGAGGGAGAGAGAGAGAGAAACATCAATGATGAGAGAGACTCATTGATCGGCTGCCGCCTGCATGCCCCCAACTGGGGATCGATCCCGCAATCCAGGCTGAGCCCCCGACCGGAATCAAACCCGGGACCCTCCAGTCCACAGTCTGACGCTCTATCCACAGAGCCAAACCAGCCAGGGCTGTAAAACACTCTTATTGAGAGTTTACTGAATGACAAGTTATATTCCAGGAACGTAGTCTGCATTCCATCACTCAGTCCATACAATAACAGAGTGCTGATATGGAAATTAAGATCTAGTGAAAGATGAAGCTAATTGTTCAAGATAAGCAGTGGATGGTATTAGAACACCCTCCCCTTTTCTCTTACTTTTATTCATTGCTCTATACTGCTCCCTAGTGGCAAGCTTTTCAATTTGCAGAAGAGTGTAAAGAAATGTTTTTCTTTATTTTTTTTAAAAAACATATTTTTATTGATTTCAGGGAGGAAGGGAGAAGGAGAGAGAGAGATAGATAGAAACATCAATGATGACAGGGTATCATTGATCAGCTGCCTCCTGCACGCCCCACACTGGGGATTGAGCCAGCAACCCTGGCATGTGCCCTGACTGGGAATCAAACCGAGACCTCAACCTCTGAGCCACACTGGTGGGGCCAATGTTTTCCTTTTAAGCATTTCTCCCCAGAGCTTTGGCTCGCTCTATCATTTATCTACATTGGAATCAAGATGATATCAGACTTAGTACAAAGCAATTTGAAATGCGACATGCTTGTATTTTATGTTGAATTAATATTCAATAACTAGAGGCCCTACGCATGAAAATTCATGCAAGGATAGGTCTGCGCAGCCCTGGCTGCCTCATGGCCCTGCCTCCCCCTCCCCCCGCCTGCACCTGCCTTGGCATGGCGCTGCCCACATCCGCCGCCACCCTCTCCGGGGCCATCATGGGGCGATGGCGGGCCTCCGACCAATCGCATCGCACACACCTTGATTGGCCTGGCACCAGTGCGTGTCATAGCTTGATCGTCGGGACAGTCATTCTACTGTTCGGTCGTTTGGTCGATTTGCACATTATGCTTTTATTATTATAGATTATCATCTGTACCCCAATTTTCATGAGGGAGAAGGAAACATTTTTTTCTTTGTATACTTCACAGCCATTAGCTACATCCTAGATACATGCAATAACAATTTATAAATAAAGGAGCTTTCATGTTCTCATTTAATCCTCACCAGGTAATCTCTCTCTAATTTTTATGGGAGGCTTACCAAACTTAACAGCATTGACTTCATCTGTAAAATAGGGATAATTTTGCCAGCATCACAGGGATTTTGTGTTAAATTAAAAATGTAAGGAATGAGAATGGAAAAGCATAATAGCACAATGTTCAAGGAAAAATCATTTCACTTTATTTGGATCTCTGCTTTATTCAACTAAACATTACTGCCTGCTTATTATAGATACACCCTATTGGGTGCTGTGGAAAATATAAAGGTGATGCCATCAGTAGATTTTAAACTCAGTGGGGAGTTTTATTTTTTTCTCCAAAAAATGTTTTTAGTTAGCATAAGCACTACCTTGGGTTTTCAGACTGGAGTGTTCTCTTGAGCCCCTTTGGGTCCTTGTTCTCTCTGCCCAGAGTGCCCTTAATCCTCGCTCTTTGCCTGCCCTTCACTAGTTAACTAAGACATCATCTCCTCCAGAAAGCCCTCCATGTCACTGTCAGCCCTACACTTACCCCAGAGTGGATCGGGCCTATGTGATGCCATTGCATTATCCTCAACAATCTTAGTACACTGTGCAGTTTTCTGTTTACGTGTTTGTTTTCTCCACAGACTGTGACTGTGCCTTTTCACTGCAGCTGGAAGTGTTTAATGAATGACCTATCTATTTAGGCCCTGAGGATAACCCTGTGAATTGGTGAGTTAGAGGGAGATTTAGTAAACTGATTTTAGTATTCAGGAGTGATCACAGACCTCTCACAATTCTCATGTAGAGTTGATCAAATTTAATGACTTGTGTATTTTCTCACTAGCACTGTGAATTAAGATGTGATATTTGAATGTTACTCTGTTAGCTAGAAAATGCTTTGAATGTAACTGGAGCATGAGATTAAAATGACTGTTGCCTAGAATTCTTATATAGGCAGCTTGCTATTTTAAGTTCCTGAAGAGTTTTTTGGAATTAGAGTTGTGGATCTCCGTCTTATAATAAAAACGTGTGTTGAGACAGCATGGAGGGACCTGGAGAGTATTATACTAAGCGAAATAAGCCAGTCAGAGAAAGACACGTGTCACTGATCTCACTCCTATGTGGAATCTAATGAACAAAATAAACTGATGATTAAAATAGATCCAGAGACATAAAAGCATAGAACAGACTGTTGAATCTCAGAAGGCTGGGGTGGGTAGAAAGAGATCAACCAAAGAACTTCTATGCAAATATGCATAACCCATGGACACCGCCAATAGGGTGATGAAGGCCTGGGGTGGGAGGTGGGGGTGGGCGAGAAGGAATCAATGGGGGGAGAAAGGAGACATGATACTTTCAACAATAAAGATTTAAAAAAATAAACAGAAAAACGTATGTTCAGGCACCTAGAGACTTAGATGTATATGTGTGAGTCCAAATGAGTTTTGCATTGCCATTCAGTTTAGTGTGCATGCTTACAAATTGACCTTATATTCGCAGCTGAGATTTATCCCCTCCAGTTTTTCCTCCTTTCTGCCATTTTTAACAGCTAATAGTTAAGTGGGTCTGGCCCTTAGTGTTGACTTCAGTATGTTGCGACGAAAACCAACTCGCCTAGAGCTGAAGCTTGACGACATTGAAGAGTTTGAAAGCATTCGGAAGGACTTGGAGGTAAGAGTACAACTTTCAAACCCTTAGGACTATTTGAAACAATAACTCTAACTCCAGACTCTCATATCAACAGCTTATTTGTATGCTTTTACAGGCACCTCCAATTCCATGTCATAGTTTCCTGTGGCCGCTGAAACAAATTACCACAAACTTGGTGGTTTAAGACAACAGAAATTTGCTTTGTCACAGTTCTGTAGGCCAGAAATCTGAACTCTGTCTCCACCAAAATCAGTGTTT